ATAATTTTTATTCTATTTTCTCAATCAATATTTTAATTGATTATAAATCTTCGTAGCGTTGTAGTCAATTAGATTTTTTTTTAAATACTACTTTATATATATATATATATATATATATATAAACTTGATGAGTAGTATTTCGAGCCAAAACGAGCCGAACACGAACAAATACATCTTAGTTCATCTTCGGCTCATTAACTTATCAAACGAAATTAACGAGCCGAACACGAGCCGTTTTGACAGCCCTGGCCGAGAAACAATCTCGGGCCAGCAACTAAGCTCAAACCAACTAGCTTCGATCCACCGGTCACTACAAATAATAGATAAATTTAAATCTAGCCACTCTCCAACTGGCCTTTATTCGGCCGCTCGTCTATTCCGCTCCGCTATTGCCCAAAATCATGAAGATAAGGAATCCAAAATTATCGAGTATATGGCTTTATCTTGTCCAAGCCAACTACCTGGCAAAGGCTGTTCAAACGAGGGATATTTACATACTTACCATTCAATTCATATACATATTTATATACCTAGCACTCCGTTTTATCTGGACTTACCGGTATACCATTAAATTCTTCCATGTCTATACTTTCATATCACTAAATGATTTTGTGATCCTCCAAGAAACTCCTCTATGAGGCGAGCAATTATAAAACTTTCTTTTGTGGCGAACAACTATAAGACTCCCCTCTGGAGCTAGCAACTTTAAGACTACTCTCCGGGGAGACCATCTCTAAGACTCTCCTATGGGGCAAGCAACTACAAGACTCCCCTCCGGGGCAATCAACTCTAAAACTTCCTTTCGGGGGGAGCAAATAGAAAACTTCCCTCCAGGAGGAGAAACTCTAAGACTCTATTTTAGGGCAAGCAACTACAATACTCCCCTCCTAGTCGAGCAACCCTGAGACTCCCGTAAGTGATGATGAAAGTACCTGAACCGAAAGCGAAAAGCACCCAGTAGGGAATACCATTAGCAAATTACGTATTCAAGGCGCATTTGATTTATAAATTTATTTATCCTTATTGTAGTTGTCACTATCAATAAACAAAAAAAACTGAGAAACTTAATTTGTATACCCAAAAACAATATGTACAAATCTCGAGACAATCCAGTATTCGACCACCTCACTTAAGTCGTCTGACCAAGCTCTATCCTTTCGCCACCTCACTGCAGTGGACCAACCCTCATTTCAGTCGGCCTACCCACTCTCTCGTTCGACCAACCAGATAAACACGCCAAAGCAACCATCATCTTTGGGAAATTCATATATAAGCTACTTAACTTCTTATGTATTAAATTTCATCAGGACCAAGAAAAAGAAACATGAATTTAAAAGCCTGCAATGATCTCAAGGCGATCCAACAATCAAAATAAAAAAAATAATAATTAAAAAAAACTAAAATGTAATTTGCCTCTCTCGTCAAAGCATATCAAATATGAATTTTTGTATAATTTTTTGCCCTCATATCCTCTATAAATAAGAAAAAATTTGCGTACGTCAAGGGGTATGCATAGATGCGTAAATAATAGGGTACACGGGGTTTATATGGGGATTACAAGGGGGTTATAACCCGTTGTACCTCCCGTGTAACTCCCGTGTAACCTCCCGTGTAACCCCGTTGTAACTTTGTAATCTCAATGGAGAAAAATAAAAACGCGGGTTACAGATGAGTTACACGAAAGTTACAAGGAAGTTATAAGACGCTTGTAACCCCCATGTAACTCCCATATATCGCTCGTGTACCCTATTATGTACGCATCTCT